TTCCAAAGATGCTCAACAGGATTCAGGTCAGGATCATAGAAGCCCACTTCAGAATAGTCCAATGTTTTCCTCTGAGCCGTTCTTAGTGTTTTTATCTGTTTGGGCTCATTATCCTGTTGAAGACCCATGAGCTGCTGACACCAAGCTTTCTGACACCAGCAGCACATTTCTCTCTACAATCCTTGATAGTCTTGAGATTTCATTGTACCCTGCACAGACTCAAGACCCCCTGCAGATGCATCCAAGCAGCTCCAGACCATAACAGACCTCCTCCATGTTTCACAGTAGGACAGTGTGACAGTTTTCCCTCTGTGAACACAGAGCTGATGTGCCTCGCCCTGAACTTTAATTTTTGTCTCATCTGTCCAGAGGACATTCTCTCTGAAGCTTTGTGACTTAGTCAACATGTAGTTTGGTAAATTCCAGTCTGGCTTTATTATGATCTGGTGTTCTTCTTGATCGTTTCCCATTAAGTCCAGTTTGTCTCAAACAACAGATGGTTTGATCTGACACTGATGTTCCTTGAGCTTGAAGTTCACTTTTAATCGTTAGAGGTTTTTCTGGGCTCTTTTGTTACCATTTATATTATCTGTCTCCAGTGGTGGGCAGCGTTAAATCAAATGTTAGTTCCGCAAATTCAAAAGCGCTAATTAATTTATTTAGGTCTGCAAGTTCTTAAGCACATGTCGTAATAATTTTAGTGGAAGCTAAATCAGTTCCACACATTCAGCTCAGTTCACCTGAGTGTAAATGTCCAGTGAAAACATGAGCATTCTTGTACAATACTGCCATCTAGTGGCTTGATAAACTGCTTTCAACCCATACCTTACTTTGTTGTGGTGAGGAGGTGATGTACAGAACCAGACTTTTGACTCATGGTGTTAAAATAAAAAGTTGTTGAGGACTGTAAGTTCTGCTGCTTCTTGGTCATTTTTCTTATGTTTATGGTAGATAGGGCTTCAGGAAGAAAACACACATATTAGTCATTTAAACTGTGTGTTGGAGAAGGGCTGTTATTGGTTTATTATTGGAGAACTGAAGCGATGCATTCTGGGTAAAGGAAGCTGACCGCCTTCACTCACTTCAAAATAAGAGCGTAAATTTAAACTGCTGTGCTTCAATAGTGAGACAGCGGTTTGGTGGTTGAAGCTGCAGCTTGTCATAAATTATTATAACTCCTCCCTCTATCCTCTCAAAGCTCATATAAGTATATAAACAAAACAACAACAGTCATGGCTGGATTGTTGGATAAACTTTTATTTTTTGTTAACTGTGGTTCTAGAAAAAAGCCTGAACATCAGCTGAGCTTCAATAAACCAGCTGTTGAGCTGGATTTTACTGGCCTCAATCATTTTAAACAAATAACATGAATTAAACTCTGCTGGACCATTCCCTCAAGTGTCCCTCGCTGTGTGTGTGTGTGTGTGTTACCATAGAGTAATTAAAAAAGGAAAGATGAGGCAGAGGCCGGCATGGTGCCAGTTTCCCCTCCACCACTGCTCTAACCCAAAACCCTAAGTGTCTATATGCAAACCTTGGGGGGTGGGCACAGGTACAGGGGGCGAGAGAGGTGCCATCCGGCCACCTATAGCCATGAGTGCCCACCATAAGTTCCTATATGTGAATTTCATGAAAATGTTGATGTCAGTGTTTCAATACTGTGTTTTCTCATGGTGTTGGTGAGTGACAGGAAGCCCTCTCTGATGTTCAAGAAAATAATGAACTCTTTAGATTTTATTTACAATAATGTATGATGATGTTCTGCCCCTGTTTTAAATGATAAGCCATACCTTCCACTGTTCAAGATGATGAAGACTGATAGATAATTAATTATTAGCGGTACTGCATTTTCATTTTAGAAAGCGCAAATTCGCTTATAAATTATAATTAGCAAATCCGCTAAAGCACAAATGAAATATTTAGGTCCGCAATGAGCGGAGTTGCGCTTTAGGGGGCTAGTGCCCACCACTGTCCATCTCCTTCATTTGTCATCAGTTTTCCTCCTGCAGACACATCCAGGGAGGGTGGCTACAGTCCCATGGATCTTAAGTTTCTGAATAATCTGTGCAGCTGTAGTCATCAACCTTTAACGCGCTTGTCTATAATTTTCGGTCTACTCTCCTGAGACAACTCTTCCCTTGTCTTCCTCTGGTCCATGTTGAGTGTGGTCCACAGTGTAACCT